GCCTAGAGCTCTCTTGCTTTTTGTACGAAAAACAATTGGTTGTGGGAAGGGTGCTGCAGTCCTGTGCAAAAGGGAAAACCATCTCAATTAGCTAAATATTAGGTAACATTAACAGAGAAAATAAAAAACAAATATAACATCATCACAGTACATATAACCTGAGGAAAAGAACAATGCAGGGTCTGTAGGAACAAATCAGCAACACTAACTCTCTGGACAGGACACATGAATTCACACCAGGCTAAAACAAAGACAATTACCTTTGCCACATATGGCTAAGTATTTTTGCCAATTGCTCGGCACTGAACGCGTGTGACTATTACATATTTGCCAAGATTGGACTACAGAAGCTACTTCATTTAGCTTAAACAGAAAGGGTCTTGTTAGAGGCTATTTGTTGACTGACAGTTTTTGAAAGGGTCAGGATATCAACCTCTGTGATACACAGCCAGGAGAACTGTCCAAACGTACCATAATTTTTTAAGCAGAAATAATTTCAGCCACAGCAAAACACTGGACATTCAAAAGCCAGGAACCAGATACCAGAAAGCTACCATCGCTAACAAAGTTCTCCAAAAAGAGTGATAACCTTCATGATGAATATTACTACCAGAGCTGAGAGCACACTCTGCCTTCATTCCAAATGCCAGTTCTTCCTTGGAAGTGGATGCTGCTGCTTGGCTCCACTCTTTTGGCAAGGAACCCTAGGAACCTAACATTTTGATTCTACCTAAGGAAGGTATAATTCATAATGTGGAGATTTAGAAAATTGAGGATTTGGACAAGAATGTTTAACAGATGGTGACTATAATATACTTTTCCATTTGTTGCATATGATGATGCTTAGCTAGTTTGGAGTAAAATATACATTGTTTTCATTCTTAATCACAATGCTTTCATTCCCAATTAACTTAAATGTAATCTTCATGAAGTCTAGTAAATTTTGCATATATGATTTGGTTAAATGATGAACTTAATTTTGATCTCAAATTTAGGCATACTGACTTGGAAAACAAAATAAACAATACGGCTATTTCTATCTAGATGAGCTGATTTTTACATTACGAGTACTTCCATTTAAAAGTAGAAGCAAGCAGTCCTTAAGAAATGGATTCTTCCATGTTCTAAATAAAATATATACATATACCTAGTAGGGATGTATATATGTGTGTGAGTGTATGTACAATCATGTATATGTGGAAATATTACCACAAACTAAGGTTGACAGTTCAAGCTATTTTCAGAATCAGAAATGAATATCAGTTAACTTTCTGGCCAGTAGTACTGAACTGAAAAATTGTTACATTCAGAGGGCCTATCTCATGAAAGAGAAGATTTTTTTCCCAAACCTAATGACAGTATAAGTGTGTTTTGTTGTTCTCTCTCTTCCTTTAGGTCCCTTGACGTATTTAGGTCTCTGATATCCGGAATTTGTGATGAGCAAGTAAGCAAAGATAATTAGTAGCAGTTTATTGCTTGATATTTTCTCATTCTCCCCTTCGACCCTACTATAACTTGACACATATACACACACACACACACACGCACACACACACATATGCACACACATTTAAGTCTACATTCCCCTTCCATGCATTCATTTCGCAATTGCCAAGCCTTATTAAATTCAGTGCTTGCTCTACTCTGCACTTGGATAACATTCACTGCAAGTGGACTAAAAGTAAGTGGCACCTACTCTCTTGCTTTGGTAGGAAATATTAACATACCATGTGGGTTTACACAATCTCATTGCTTCAAATACTATCTGCATGCTGATGACTCTGGGAAGAAAAGGGTGAACAATAGGTCTGCAGCTACTTCCTTTCCTCCTGGCACAGAGGAGGCAATGCTGACCTCAAAAATATCTAAGTAGAAACAGGGCATTGGGATTTATCCCAGAAAGATATCTGAGAAAGTTCTTATCTAAGAAAGTTTGTCTATATTGATCATCGAAAATACCTGGAACTTAGAGACTTAAAGGACCAAACTGGCTGGAGAATGCTAGTTGGCCACATAGATTATCTACTTATGTGAGCAATCAAGTATGGAATCCAAGAAAACTCAAACTAAAGCTACCTTCTCCAAGCAAAATTGTTACGGACACACATGGCTTTCGGTTTCTGCAAAATCAAAAGTCTTTCCAGGGCAGGAACGAGTCTGGTTTAGCTTTGTTTTGCGTTGTACTGTTTTGTTTTATTTCATTTTGGAAGCTGTATCTGTTGGCTATGAGGCTATTTGAAAGACTAATGTTGTAAGGCTGCAATGTCCCTACATTTTGTTTATATCTTTCGCTAATCATTGGGGAAGTTTGATGTTGAGCAAGAACCATTATGCTTGTGCATCTGCTTTGACAATCCAGCCATCTGTGGTACTGCAACAACCAAATAGCACCATCTCAGACCTCCTCCCTGAAGTTGAGATTTTCTGTCCAATGATTACCTATACGCTGATGTGTTAGAAACATCGAAAGCTCAAAATCCTAAAATCTAACTTGTTTTTGCATAGCTTGCAAAGTTCCTCTCTTAAATTTCTCTATTTCAAAAGTTGTAAATGTTCTTCTGTTCCAGCTGATGAAAACAAAGCTATGAAGATATCTTTGACTATTATCTCTCTACATGCAAATCCTTTTCAAGGTATTATTTTTTCCTCAGAAATCTAGCAAGTATCTATTGCGTTCACACCACTTTTTGGATGACAATTCTACTCCAAATCACCATTACCTTTGAACAAAGTATAGCAAATGCCTCTTAGGGGGCTCTCTTCTTCTATTCTAAATGGCAGCCACTGTGTCTCTTCAGGAAATCAGAGCATGTCACATTTTATTAATTCATTTATTACCTATTCAAACCTCAAACGTTTTTTTCTTTATGCAGAGTAAATCTCATGCCCACCAAATTCTGAACCTTAGGTGTCTGTCAACTTTCTACCTCGATTACTTAATTCCAGGATAATATATTGTGCATGATTGTTGCATTATATTAGTAAAATGGATTACATGCCAATTGATTAAATGTTCTTATACAACATGCTATCAAATACACATTATCAAATAGTGTACTAGATATTAAAATTAGAAAATAAAGCCAAAATATAAGATTTTTGTCCATGCATATGAAATAATCCAATATTAATTTTGCAATATACATACAATAGAAAATTGAAGCAGAATGTTTTCTAATAATATGAAGAAAGTCTTTCCTACAATATACTGCCTTTCAAGGAAGTACATTACATTCTACAGTGCAATGTTATATATTGCATACATAAAAGTAGGATAATTTAAATATTCTGATACTAGAAGAAAGACCAAAGAAAATCATACCTTTATTTAGGATCCATGTTTAATAAACTATAATAAAAAAATAAGTCTTTAGAAAAGAAGTAACCTAGATGCATACATCAAATATAATTCTACAGTGATTCATTGTTTATGTTTCTAGAAGACTGGTAAATGTGTATATATTACTTAAAAATATTTGTAGGTACATTGATAATGACATAAATCTTTAAAAATGGATAATTTAGGCCAGGTATGGCGGCTCAAAAGCCTGTAATCCCAGCAATTTGGGGGGCCGAGGAGGGCAGATCATGAGGTCAAGAGATCGAGGCCATCTAGGCCAACATGATGAAACCCCGTCTCTACTAAAAATACAAAAATTAGTTGGGTGTGGTGACATGTGCTTGTAGTCCCAGCTACTTGGAAGGCTGAGGCAGAAGAATTGCTTGAACCTAGGAGGCGGAGGCTGCAGTGAGCTGAGATTGTGCCACTGCATTCCAGCCTGGCGCCTGGCAACAGAATGAGACTCTGTCTCAAAAAAAAAAAAAAAAAAATTGATAACTTAATTAAATAGAAAACACACACATAAATCCTATATTAAGTTCAAAATCAACTTATATATAAACATATGAGAGTTACAGTCTCAAAAATACAGCATTTATACAAATAAATGAAAAATAATAAAATACTGTATACCCCCAGAAAAAAATAGGCAAAGTTTTAGATAACTGAGTCACAATATAAAAATACTACTTGCTGTTTTAATCATAAAAATTATTCAAAATCACATATAATTAAAGGACACAATATTAAAACAAGTTAATTTTATCACTATAAAATATTAATCATATTTAGTATCATTAGGAGTGTGAGTGTCTATATATTATTAGAGAAGTTTGAATCAGTTTGCATTTGCAGGAATATTATAATATATATCAAAGACTTAAAACTTGCATATCCTTGGTCTCGGTAACTCTAAATCTTGGAACTTTTTACAAGAAAATAGTAAACATGTCTTCTCCTGGGAATACAACCCAAATATACTTTTATAGGATTCCACCTGAGGGTATCACTTGATACTCCTTGGTTTGGAGACTGAGACTTGAATCTAGCAAGGTACATATCACAGAAAGAGTGGACAGATAGAGTGCAGTGAATGCTTACAGTGACAAGTGAACATTATAGCAAGCAGCTATGGAAATGGGCTACCTTAATAACATATATGTGTCTTAAAAACACATCATCAAGTGAAAAAAGAATGATACATACAGCACAGTTTTCATAAGTACAAAGTATATGCACAGTCCCAAAATATTTTAGTAAAACATGTACACATAAAATATAGTACAGTAAACGTATTTAATGACTTTCTATAAGGGGAGTGGGAGTGGTGGAAGAAAGACTAGTCGACCACAGGGACACTGGGAAATTATAATAGCCAAAGGGACCTTAATGGGGGTTACGTGATAATGAGCAAAGGACTGGAATGCACAATTAACTAAAGGCTCTGCATCTGCTTTTTAAGAAAATATATGGAATATACTAGATATGACCAGACACGTCATTACAAAGATGTAAAACCTATTATGCATTAAATTGCAGAATATTGTATTGCACATGTTAAAATATGAACAGCAATATATATTTTTAAGCATTAAAATATTGATATAAGAAATATTTACTGAAAAACATTATTAAAATAACCAGACAAAAATCACATAACATGCTCACTTAGACAGCATATATATTAAAATTCGAATGATACAGAGAAGATGAGCATGGCCCCTGCCCAAGGATGACATGCACATTTGTGAAGGTTCCATATTTTTCAATATCATGAAAATGGCCATAGTACCAAAAGTAATTTAGAGATTTAATGTTATTCCTGTTAAACTACCATTTACATTCTTCACAAAATTGTAAACTATTTTAAAATTCATAAAAACTATTTAAAAATTCATATGGAACAAAAAGAGCCCATATAGCCAAGACAATCCTAACCAAAAAGAACAAATTTGGAGGCTTCACCTTACTGGACTTCAAATTATACTATAAGGCTAAAATGACAAAAACAGCCTGGTACTGGTACAAAAACAGACACATAGACCAATGGAACAGAACAGAGAAATCAGAAATAAGATTGCACATTCACAACCATCTGATCTTCAACAAACTTGACAAAAACAAGCAATGGGGAAAGGATTTCCTATTTGACAAATGGTGCTGGGATAACTGACTATTTGGAGGAAATTGAAACTGGACCTCTTCCTCACACCTAATACAAAAACTGACTCAAGATGAATTAAATACTTAAATGTAAAACCCAAAACTATAAAAAATCGTATAAGAAAATCTAGGCAATACCATTCAGGACATAGGCAAAAGCAAAATCTTCACTATGAAATTGCCAAAAGCAATAGCAAAAAAAAAAAAATCTTCTCTGTA